GTCCTTTGTCTTCATTCCTTTCATCTGCCGTTCATTTTGTTTTGCTTGTTCTTGCAGCTAAAATATTTAACTCTGCAACATTTAAAATAAATGAGTAGGAACTCTACTAACTTTACAGGCTGTTTTACTTTTTAGTTTGAAGCGATTTCTGATGTACGGTAAAAGTTTTTTCCCTGCGATTATTCAAACTCTGGAGCTTCTCTTTGTTGCAGAGTGGAGCGACGAGCTGAGAGGGAAGAAATGTAAAAGGAAGGACCTGCTCGGCCGCTCAGAGAGGAAGAAAAAGGTTGCTCTAGTTTCAGGTAAGGAATTTAAATAGAGCGAGCATCCTGTCGAAGCAATAATCTGATGTATTCAGGCGAGGTGAAAACTCCACCCTTATGTTCCAGGGCCGTTTATTGTCTACATGTTGAGAGATATCGACATCCTCGAAGACTGGACCGCCATCAAGAAGGTTAGAAATCAGCTTAATTGTCTTGAGTACAAAAAAATGACCCGGATAAAGCTACAGCCACACTGTTGATATCTTCGTCCAGGAATGTGTTTTGAATCATTACAATGATATGAGCTGCAGTATTGGTCTGTTCGTTTATCACCTGATTATGTCGCTATGTTTAATTTAAACAATGCCTTAAAAAAATCTGCTGCCTTGAGTCTGTCCTACTTGTTTAATATTACATTGGCATTTAAATTTGCAAGTTCATAACCTTTGTATTATATTATGCAATAGTTATTGTAGTCACTTTGAAGAAGAGGAATACACAAGCTAATACTGGGTGAGTGATAGAGAGCTGCAGGAGGACTGTGAGCATCTGTCTCAAGGATTAAAATCAATTTCCTTTAGGGCTGAAATGATCAGATTAATCACGATTAATTGGTTATTGAAATAATCAACTAATTTAGTAATTAATTAATCGTTAACTGGAGTATATAGACTCAAACGTGCATTTAGCTGACAGATGGACACATTTAAGGCAGTAATTATACAATAATTTTAAATTATTTTTTTTTTCTGTCAATATGCTATATTCAGAACTTCTCAAGTGGAAAACTTTTTAATTTTGTAAAAAGTCTTCTTTAAGGAAGCTTTGACTATCTTAATCAATTAATTGAAAAGATAATCAACAGATTAATCGATTTGCGATATAATTGTTATTTGCAGCCCTGAGTTCCTTATAAAATCAGTATTGGAACATTTATATCAATATTGATTCAAATCAGTATTAAATTAGTGGTTAGGCTACCCCTAACTACTTCAGCATGATCAAATCTGCTGTTACTTTAGTTCATTTTTAATTTAGTGTTTGGTTTTTAACCTGCTAAGCTGTCTGAGCGTCAGATATCAGATTTTCTTCCGGCAGGCGGGGCAACCTTCAAGATCATGTTTACAATAAGTGTTTCTGTGTCTTCCAGGCAAAAGCAGCTCTCTCCCCACTAAAAAAGAAAGCTGAGAGTAAGTTTATTTCAGCTGCAGAGAACAAAACAAATGGTACCAACCTGTCCCTCTGAGTTTAACCTCTAACTCTTCTCCTGGGTGTCTTTCAGAGCGGTGATGATGTGAAGATCTGAGCTGCAGACGCCAAACCTAACGGAAGCACTCACATTCCCAGTTTCTGCCTCCGACACCTGTGTGTTTGACTGAAACACAGCAGCAGCAACTTTTGTTTTTTTTTAAGTATGTTGGGAAAGCCATCGACCCCCCCCCCCCAGCTTGTTTGTTATACGTTAGTATTTAAGATACGTTCTTAATTAAATGACTTCACCATGTATTTATAGAATGATTTATAATGCTGATTAAAGTTTTAATCTTTTACGACACAGGTCTTTAGCTCATTCTTTTCTGACAAAGAAAAAAAATATATAACAACATTGAAGGGTAATACCTGCGACTACCGGTACACGTCTGTTATCTGAATGGCATAGGATGATACTCCTCCAGATATCTGGTGTTTCTCCAGCCTAAAGAGGGAACATTTTCTGCTCTTATGGGCAGCATTACTCAGATCTGACCTTTTCTGGTACAGATAGGCGTGGGTGTACAGAGGAAGAAACCATGAGGCCTTTCTCTAAATAGAAGAAGAATGTAACATGCTGCTAAGACTCCTTTCTAAGAAGAAATTAGGGATTCAGTTGGGTTTGGAAGTTTATTTGACAATATGAAAGGGAAAGATTTGGGCACATTTCATAAAACATCAGCAAATCAAACCAAAATGAATAAAATAGAAATGAATAAATGGGTGATCAAGCCTCCGGATGACGAATAAAGATATATATATTTAACAGACGCCTGTAATAAACATTGTTGTGCTGGGATTGTTAAATGTGACACTACCCTCCTCCAAACTCCTCACAGCTGCTTGCTGAGCTTACGCGCCTGCCTCTCCCTGGCCTCAAAGGCCGCCTTGGTGTCCAGAAGCTCATCCAGCTGCCGGCGGATCCGGGCCATGTCCAGCTGGGTGGCCTCGCACTGCTCCCTCAGGGCGGCCGACTCCACCCTCAGCTGCGTGGCGGCCAGCGAGAGCTGCTCGCTGCGCTCCCTGCACTGCTGCTGCATCCTCCTGGCGTCGCCTAGAAGGGACTCCACGCTCACCACCACAGAGTCGCACTGGTTGTTGGACACTTCCTGGCGAGAGGGGAGCGGAAAACCAAGCATTCAGAGGCTGTAGGAACTTTAACAGCAGGCCCTCCACAGAGGAGCAGGTTTCAAACTCAACATTTGATCTGTGGTGGATGAAGATTACAGAGTTTATCCCCGCTTATCTCAATGCTCTGAGTTTGGCTTCTTCTCCTCATCTCTACCAATCGACATTAAAACAGATCTCACCATTGATTCCAGGGTCAGACTGATCTCCAGCCTACTGGTCTTCTTCTGAGCCTCGACCTCTTGGTCCGTATCGCTCTTCTCCAGTGCTTTACTCCCTGGCCTTTCTCGCTTCACAGATTTACTTCCTGCACATCTAAAAGGGAGCCGACGTCCACTCCTAAGGGTCCTCTGATTAAAGGTGAATCTAGCAGCTGCAGGTCAGTTAAAGGTTAGTTTCTTAGCAAGTGTAATATTTCAGAGTGAGTCTGAAGTCCAGTCTGTCGTCTGAAGCTCTCCTCAGCGAGCGTCACCTTCTGCCTCAGCCTCAGAGTGAGCTCACATAATCCTCTGAGATTAAACCATTAGGGGGAGCGAGGGATTCCTGTGTAAGCTCTCCTCCTGGTCTATTTTCATCCACCTGGTTACTATTCACAGAACTAAAACATAAGGATCATTTAAACAAATATTTAATTTAATATGTCTGTAAGTATTTTCTAAATGCTGTAGACCTTTATTTATGGAGTTCAGTATCATTGTTTTAAACTCATAGGAATTTTTCAAACTCAGTCATGATTGTTTAGCTGTAATTTGGCTCATTTTTTACCCCATCCTGTCGAACTAGAGAACAGTCAGGTAACGTCACGTATCCTTTTGATGCTGCACTCAAATCTAGAAAACTGAGGGGTGATGGCAGCTTCAAAACGTGGACTTTGTTATTCTGAAACTACTTCATAAATAATTTTGTAATGGGCCGAGACTCATCGTGAAATGCATTCTGTTGGTGAAGTGCACCAGTCCCTCCTGCAGCCAGGTAAGGCCACAAGTCATTGCTGCTGCTACAGCAGGGGGTCTACAACCTTTACAGTCCAGACAGCCATTTTTGACTTTAGTCCAGCGAATAAAAATTATATAAAACAGTTCATATCAAAGAGATCTGTCATTTTTTTAAGAACCACTGTCTTTTTAGGTTTTTTAATTAAGGAAAAAAAACTTAGAAAAAGAATACATTTTCAAGGGGTTGCTGAAATGTATATAAAAATAATAATAATTTAAAAGGTATAATGGATGATTTTCTCCAATTTTTGGAAAGACCTGCCCTCTCCACTTAAAAAAAAAAAATTGCACATACACAACCCTGTACCTGATCCCCAGAGGGACAACCTGTTTAACACGTGCGAGAGCGTGAAGGAGTCCATTTATCCTCACGCACGCTCTGTTTAAAAGTCGCTGTTGGCATCGCTCATACAAGCTTACTTTCCAAAAGAAGATTTGCAATTTTTCCACTAATTCAGATTCACCAACAGTAAGTAAAAATGGAGACGAGCACATAGGGCAGCCTTACGTAAACATACCACCAGAATGATTGACAAATAGGAGGACCACTTATTTTTCTCACATTTTTCCCAATAATAAAAAAAAAAGATATATACATATTTGTTTTCTAATATATTCATAGGAAACTTATTTTGGAAATTCAATGCAATTGGCCATTCCAAAAAATTTTAAAGAACAATCCACTGGACTTTTGACGTTTGAAGACATTTCGCATGGAAACAAAGTCCAGTGGATTTTCTTGAAACTTTTTTGGAATGACTATGACCTGGATGACTGAGAATCTTCACCAGCATAATGCATTTGGTCAACAACAAAAATGCCTAAACCTACATTTGTTAGTGTCTATATTTTTTAAAGAATACTTTGCTCTTTATCATTTTGAACCAAGGTAAAGAAGAGCCAATGCAGAATGTTGCAGAGCCCAGCGCTAGACTTCATGTTTTAGGACGGTGTTCTCACGCTTGGAAGCTTGTTTGGTTTTCCTCCAATTGTAAAGGCAAATGTTTCATTTCAGATGTATTCTTTGAGTTGTTGTCGATGGGGGACTCCTCTAGTTGTGGACAACTATACTGTGTTACCAGCTATAACCAGTATCTTTACAAAGTATTGGTCCAGTACTCTCACATTTAACCATTACATATCCACCTCAGGATGCACGCTCCAGTAGGACTTCTAAACATCCGCCATGAGAGCTCCTCTCACATAGTGTTTGTCAGTTTAATTAAAAGAAGCTCCCTCGTTTTTTCTTCTAGCCGGAGCCAAATGTTGAGCTGCAGGTACAACATAATCAAAGGGAGGGAAGGAAGAGGAAAAAAGGTACAAAAATTCACCTTCTCTTTTAGTGGGATGGCAACAAATTTATTTTAAATGGTTAAGGCAATACAACAAACCCCTGCTTTGAACATTTTGATTGTATTTAAGGAAAAAAACATCAAATACATTTATATTCCTGTAGAAATGCCTTATTTATTAATATCAACCAGCAGGGGGAGACATTTCCTTTAACAATCTGTAAGCAGGCTTTAAACAAACAGGCAGTAATAATACAAACCAGTTCACATGAGGAGCTAATGAGGTTCAGACCAGACAACATCTCAATAGGTCACTAACCAGATATAGACAGGATTCCACAATATAAATGTTAATGATTTAAAACATTAGCTATTGAAAAAGTAACAGTTTTCCAGCGGGTGGATGAACAAAGATTTGCCGAAAAAGTTTCTGATAACAACAATAAAAAAAAAGGAATTGGCTTCAGTACCATGCTGAAATCTTTGGATTACGAGGCTGAAAGCGCAGACTGTGAAACCGTCACAGAAAGACCTGAAATGAATATTATATAAAAACACATCTCCACTTTCTCCAGCGTTACTGAGGGGGGCGGTTAAAGAATGGCTCCGTCTCTCCTGCGGTCGCTCCTGACTCGCCAAAAAGGGCCCCGGCCGGTGTGGGAATGAGTTTGGCCCCGGAAGTCTGACGCCTCTGAACGATCACCAGCGCCACAATGATGAGCCAGAAGAAGAAGTTGACCCAGACCGCCGTCTGAGGAGCAACATTAAAACAACACAAAAGTTGAACCTTTCAGTTACTTCCTGGATAACAGGAAGGAAGCAATGCAGCTTAAGGTCAGAATGTGGGGAGATACAAACCTCTGATTTGTGAAGATTGGTGTAGATCCGGTCTCCTTGAAGAGGGCCGACCCATTTCCGGCTCTGAACTTCCTCACATCTAAGAAAGAAACTCAGAAAATTACCTTTAAAATCCCCCCAAAAATATTTAATTTATCTGCACTAGAGCTGCAACTAATCATTATTTTGCAAATCGATTAATCTGACGGATTAATCGAATAGCAAAAGGTTCCAAAAAGAAGATTTTTTTTCACAAAATCAAACCAAATAAACTTAAAAAATTTTCATCTTGAGTAGTTCTGGATAGAGCATATTGACAGATGAAAACCTTTTTTAATCTTAAATGCAAAATTTATACGTATTGTTTCTTTACAATTTCGATATAATGACTGCTCTAACTGGGTTGCTCTGTCAGCTAAAGGCTGTTTTAGNGCGACCCGACCCCGGATAAGCGGAAGAAGATGGATGGATAAATGAGTTGACGATTATTTCAATAATATATTAATCACGACTAATCCAATTGTTGGTTTCAGCCCTAATCTTCACCATTTCATTTTGTGTTTATTTTTTTATTGAAAACTTGCATAGGAGTTTTTGGAAGGCCAAGTTGAACTTAATGAGCTATACCCAGCTCTGACTTCTAGAATCAAGAAACCAATTAGATAGACAATATCTGACAACATGAAATAGATTAACAGATATTAACATGCAGCCATAGGGCTAAAACACTATTTCCAGGGCTTTGGAACAACGGATAACCTCCATAGCTGTGGTCAGACGTCCACAATTACTCCAAAAGCTCACTGATGATTCAACCAAGAGGTCACAAAGCAACGCAGAACATCTTCTATAGCAGGGGTCTGCAACCTCTACAATACTCTGCCCTGAGTCGAGCAAAATAAAAGTCAGTTAGAGCCACACATATTACAC